GATACTTAATTTCAAATAAATGGTCATTTTAACAAATATATTAATCTAATTTGAACCCAAGTAAATTTGAAATAGAAATTACTGTCAATATTTCAGTTGGTATAATATGTGCCCAATGAGACTAAGATCTATTTGCCAATTTTTGTATTGGTTCCTTTAAGATGATGTAAATGTCATTGGAAAGCATCTCATTAAAAAGAATGGTATTTCTACATCAAAAAGAGAAAACATAAAGGCAAACAATGATTGGAATACTGTTTAAAAGTCTGTATATAAAAATAAACTGTAAACAAAAATGTTAAGTCAGAAAAATATCTGCACTGTGACAGTAGTTAATAATCTTATTAATAAAGTGTGATTATAAGTAGATAAGAGAAAAAAGAATCCTCTCAACCCCCAATAAAAACATAAGCAAAAACTATGACTTGGAAATTCACAAAGTATTGATGCCAATTTTAAAAATACTTAAGTGCACTGATAATGTTAGAAATGTATTCTACCTAATAAAAGAGCAACATGCTAATTGACCATACTTTTGTGATGCCCACCAATCAGGAGTGAGTATGCAAATTAACCCAACAAAGATGGTGAGTTAATTTGCATACACAGGCACTGAGCTGCTGGGGGCAGGGCAGGCCTCTAGGCAGCATGGGAAGGTGGAAAGGCAGCTCCAGCCAGAGCGAAGGCAGTGCCTGTAGCCGGGGGAAGGAAGGCCCATTCTTACACAAATCTTTGTGCATTGGGCTTCTAGTTTAAAATAAAGTAAAATGTTTCTCCCATACTAAATTGACAAAGATAAAATATAATTCCCAGTTAGGTTTGGCCACTGTGATCACAATCCTGGGGGAGTATGGTTGGGAACTAATATAAATGCAGTGAATATAAATTTGGCATAGTCAACTGTTGTTTTTGTTTGTTAGTTTTTGTTTTTAATATATTTCATTGATTTTTTACAGAGAGGAAGGGAGAATGGAGAGTGGTAGAGAGCTAGAAATGTTGATGAGAGAGAAACATCGACCAGCTGCCTCCTGCACCCCCCCACCGGGGATGTGCCCGCAACCAAGGTACATGCCCTTGACCGGAATCAAACCTGGGACCTTTCAGTCCGCAGACCGACGCTCTATCACTGAGCCAAACCAGTTTCAGCTGTCAGCTGGTTTTAAGTTCAAACTGGCTTTACCACCTCAATCACTTTATTAATCTCTCAGAGTTTACATTAGAATCATGAGTAGAATTAGGGTAATACATCATGTATTAGATTGCTGTGAGAATCAAAGAGGCTAAGGCATGTCAAATGTCTATCAGAGTGTCTCTTCCTATTTTAGCTATTAGGAATGAATACAATATGGATGGGGGTTGCTTAGCTCCCCCAATTTTGTCCTATTAAATTGGTTAGACATTAAAAATGACAATTTGTCACTATGTACTGAAAGACCTATACTGCTGAATAACCACTGATATTTCAAATTTACTTCTGGACTTTTTTTTTCTTTTTCTGAAAAGTTAATATGAGTGTTTAACGATTTTAGCTATAAGGTTATTGATGAGCCTTTTCTATAACAATGGAAGTTCACAAATAACACTTTGGGTTAAACAATAATAGATTGATTAAGTACATTATAATTTGCTCATTAATAATGCATCCTGTTTAAGTTAAGAAGTTACTAGCCAATAGATAGTTTAAAAAATTTTTATTTAGGTTTTGAATAGTGAGTATGTTTTAAGTTTGTGAGTGGAGCAGTATGCAACTAATAGTGCAATTAGAGAGAACAGTTATCAGTAAACTGTAGAGAAATGAAAATACACAGAGCATCCGGGGAATGGAAAATTTAAGACATACGTTTAAAATACAGGGATTATTAGGAAGACTATGCTGGAAAACCAAATGGGAATACAAGTATTATGAGTTTTGTATATCATAACTAATGAATTTCTACTTTATTCTTTGAACAGAGAGAATTATTGGAGATGTTACTAAAGTTTTAATTATAATGTAGCATGTATGAGATATATGAATGAACTTCTACAAGATGTATGCAAATAATGAGATGTTTTGACTCCTGCAGGTTAAAGAAGATATAGGATAGGATAAATATAGGGTCCCTCATTATAAAAGGATTTAAGGTTAGGAGTAAAGGGATTACTTTTACCTGATATTTGATAGAAATATCAGGATTTGGTGACCAATTAAAATTCAAAAGTTAAGTGTCTATGTTGTGATTCAATTTTGGATGATTGTATAAAAAGGAAGAAATTGAGTACATCTGAAAATAGTTGTGATTTTAATAATTAATTGGCAATAGATTCTAGAGCTCAGGAGAGAGGCTGGTGAGAAAATATAAAATCTGAGTCATTAGTATTGTAGGGGACAGAGAAATGCTTCCAGGAATCTACCAGGTACATTATCTTTTCAGAACTATAGAGAACACAATTCCATAACTTCTAGTAAAACACTTCCTACCAGTAAATTGTAAGTTCTTTATTTCATATGTAAAAATATAGGTTCAAGTTTTAATCAAATTCCTTTTTATTTTCATCCTTTTGAAAATGTTTAATGATCATCATAATATTACTTGCTAGTAAAAGAGCATATCAAGAACAGATAGGAATGGAGTGGCTAATTTTGTCATTATTATTTGGGGTAGAAGAATTTTATTATTAAGATTTTTAAAAGAGCACTTCAAGATGATCAAGTATTGAATTTAATAATAACACTCCAGCTGCTATCTTGTTTTTCCAGTATTCCTACTATAAAAACTTCCATACATTCTTTCATCTATTTATTTAACTAATAGGTTTTTTTAGGTACCTACTATATCCCAAGCCTTGTGCCAGATGCTGGGGATAAAGAGAGGAGAATGTGCTGGATATATGAGTGTTTAAGAAAAATATATCTAACCAACTACCTACTGAAGGTTAGCTTCTTAGTGATATCTCCAGAGCTAAAAAAAGAAAAGAAATACCAGAACTCCTGTACAAAGAGAAAATGGTTAAGGTATAATTGTCAACAGGCATGAAGAACCTTCTTTTAGAAATGTAACTGAGTGGAGATACTAAAAAATCAGGGTTAACATTTGTTAATGACTTTTGTATAAAAGCAGGAGAGAGAAATTTGAATATTTTTATGGATTGAGGCTACTTTTAAGAATTCAAAACGAAATAACCATAAAAATAGATGCTGCTTCCATGGTAACAAAAAAGGATAGCAATAAAAAAACAGGGAAGGTAGCTGTGAGAACAGAATCCTAAAATCTGTTCTTTTTTCAAGTAAGTCTAAAATTTAAACATGTTCTTAGAAATATTTAGTTCTACCAAAGTATAAATTATAATAGGGTTTTATATAATGGGTTAATTTTTTCATAATATATATTTGTTAGAACTACAGGAGAGGCCGATTATTTTATTAGCTTAACAATATCAGAGGGAGTGTTGTGCATTTATCTTGCCTCTGACATAGTCACTAAATGAACATTTTATTTTTTTCTTATAGAAGTACAAAGAGAAATAACTAAGAACACAAATAAAATAATAAGTAAATATAATAATTAATGGCAATAAGTACTGAATGTCTAGTATATGACAGGCTAGTGTTAGTTGTTTTTATAGATTTTAATAATCTTTAGAGGGAAAAAATTGGGGAAAATCTTTTATACACTTTATAGATAAAATATTAAAGAAATTAACCAGAGAACTTATATGCATCTATACATAACCCATGGACAGACAGTGAAGGCCTGCAGGGCAGGGAGGTGGAGGGAGCCTCCAGGGTAGAGGGGGCCACTGAGGGAGATAAAGAGAACATCTATAATACTTTCAAGAATAAAGATACATTTAAAAAGTATTATGTAACTTACCATCAATTACCCAGGCTATACTAATGCTACAAAATGATGTTCTTTTATTATGATACATATATACAAAATATGTGGAGTAAAAGTAAAATTTCCTATTTCAATTCAATCTTTTCACCAGAGGTAATCTATATCCCAGATAGATTTCTATACATATCTAATATAGTAGATAATAATCCATATAAATCTAGATATTTTAGATAATACATAGAGAGAAAGGTTCACACGTATTTTTTTTTTGTAAATGAGATCATTCAAAATAAATTGTATTGATTTTATTATCATCTTTTCAATTTTTTTTAAAAATATATTTTATTGATTTTACACAGAGAGGAATTGAGAGGGACAGAGAGTTAGAAACGTCAATGAGAGAGAAACATCGACCAGCTGCCTTTTGCACCCCCCCCCACTGGGGATGTGCCCGCAACCAAGGTACATGCCCTTGACCAGAATCGAACCCGGGACCTTTCAGTCCGCAGGCCGACACTCTATCCACTGAGCCAAACCGGTCCCGGCCTCTTTTCAATTTTGATAACAATACATACAGACTTCTCTCAGTCATTTTGCTGGCTATGCAGTATTCTATACTATGAATACATCATGATTGAATTAAATATTGCCCTCTTGGTAAATATTTAGTTGTTTTCACTGTTTGTATTATAATAAAAAGGTTCCAGTAAACATTCTTGTACATATATTTATAGACATGAACAAATATTCATAAAGGTGAAAAATATTTATTTTAATTTCTATCTTGTCACTAAATTCATGATGTAGAGACATTAAAATATCTGTAGGTATAGGATTTTAGCTTTTGTTCATTTCATTTATGAATTCCTGAGGTTCTAACATTATACATTTTGTCCTCATTTGCTCCTACATGGTAAAATGAGATGAGTTTGAAATATTGGGCTGTTCTCATTACTGCAGGCTAGTTGAAAGTTTTGCCCTTTTAATTAAATTCTGTAGTACTTTTGTAAGAAACTTGGGATAATAAAAGAGTGTAATTAGTTCTTAATTTGACTGCCCATTGATTTGCTAAACTAAGTCTTTATTGTAATTGAGTTGTAAGCCATGGTCTAGTGTGATAGTTTTCACAATATGTCTCCCCCCTCCAAATATGAAGCCAATAAAAAAAGGAGAACTTACCTGATTTCCTCCCATACCATGACAGTTGAATATGCCCACTTTTTCATTTTCCTTTCGGCCCATGTTGTCTAAACATTGATTAGTCTCAACATTTCTTATCTAAAGGAGACACACAGAAAAACTTAAGTCAGAAATCAGAAAATCTTTCTGATATCAAAGTGTATGTTGATAACAAAAGTATACACGTGTAAGGAAATCTAAGAAGAACACATTGCTTTAAATTATGCATTTCTGTTTTCTGTTTCCATTTTCAGATCCATGTAAGTTTCTGAACCTCTACTGAAATACATGTGCCAACACTGGCATTGTCATTAGCATCTACTCAAGAGGAGCTACTTGTTTACAGCATAAAATCAATGAAGAAGAGAGCATCTACTTATTATAAATTAGGAATTCTACAGATTCTTTTAAAATTAGAACAGTGTCCAAATTCCATTAATCTGGTAATCTATTGTATTCTTGAGCTGTCTATATAGTACCATATGCAAATAAATATAAACAAGTTGATTAAATATTCAAGTATATGTTTTTAAAGATTGCTTCCAGTATTAATAGATGCTTCACTTTATATATTAATGGAGATTAATTACATTGTTTATTTCTGTAACTAAAACATATTAATACATCTTTTTATTCCTAATGCCAAACTTGATGAAAGCATTTGACCCTAAGAAAATCTATTGCAAGGCTAAATGGTGATTCCACATTAAAAATTCCTCAAAAGTAAGATTAAATTGTTAACTTTTCTAATATATGGAATGTTTTCAGTTTCTTCCTTAGTCTCAACCCCAAGGATGTATTTATTATACTTGTCCACTCTGCTTATCTCTGACTCTTATTATGACAAGCATATTTTACTGTTTGCTCATAAATCACTTGGATATGTCTCTTTAGTTATCTATGGCTTAGATACATGTTTACTCATCGTGGATAATGAATAAGAAGATGGATTATATTTACACATTTTGCTTTTATGTATGGTACAGAACTCCATGGTCAAGGAATAGTTCCTGGAATTGGAAAAAATTATGTGATTTGCATTAAAGCCCCAATTGGCATCTGAGAACAGTGGGATTGGAATTCACACTTAGTAAGGGTTAGAAAAAACAGCACAGTGGTCAAACCCTGTTCTAATGGGTTGAGATTTTGAGCAGGATCATGGATGCTTTCATCAAGAAATCTGAGCAGCAACCCATTAGAAAGCCCAAAACAAAATGCGGATTTTAGAAGGAAAGGATATAAGCTCCAAGAAGAAAATTATGTCCAAATTGCGGAGATGGGGACAATAGGGACAAAGGAAATGGAAAGTCCAGATGAAAATAGAAAAGATAAACAGAGTTAGGAGATCTCAAAAAATAAGGTACAGTTGTTGTTTTTTCCAACTCTTCAAAAAGTACAGGAACAGGAGATCCAGACTGGTCAAATAAGAAATGTCTGCTGTGTAAACAGTTCCCGTAAAGGATAGCTGGAACATTTACCCTAAATATCCCTGCTGGGTAGAAAAGGAATTGGCTTTGTTATGAAAACCTCCTTTACTTTCCACCAGCACTCATTGTTAAAAAATTATTCACACAAAAGAACACACTGGCTTTAATCCTTCAAAATATCCTGAGAAGATCCTTCAACTAGTGAGTTTTAAGAATTCACAGCACAGTGTTCAGACTCTTCAGATATTAGAAGGAGACTTTTCACTGATTTATAAATGGATTGTATAGAAACACCTTTTCCAGTTTTAACTATTATCCGATTGCCCTGAATCAAATTCTCACGAGTATCCTTTCTAAACAAAGAGTAATATGTAAATTGACCATCACTCCAACACACAAGCTGGCTGCCCCCATGAGGTCAAAGATAGCTGCCCCCACATGGACACAGACCACAAGATGGCCAGTGGGGGAGGGCAGTTGTGGGTGATCAGGCCAGCAAGGCAGGGCAGTTAGGGGTGACCAGACTAGCAGAGAAGGGCAGTTGGGGCGAGACCTGGGCAATTGGGGGAAACCAGGCCTGCAGGGGAGGGGATTTAGGGGTGACCTGGCTGGCAAGAGAAGGCAGTTAGGGGTTACAGAGCCAGCAGGGGAGGGCAGTTAGGGGTGACCAGGCCTGCAGGGGAGAACAGTTAGGGTCAATCAGACTGGCAAGGGAACAGATCAGACTGGTAGGGTAGTGGATAGAAGTGAGCAGGCTGGCAGGCAGAAGTGGTTAGGAGAAATCAGGCAGGCAAATGAGTGGTTGGGAGTCTGCAGTCCTGGATTGTGAGAGGGATGTCCCAGATTGGAGAGGGTGCAGGCTGGGCTGAGGGACACACACACACACACACACACACACACTCTCTTACACAAATTTCATGCACCGGGCCTCTAGTTTATTAGTAATGTGGGTGTTATCCTGATCTCATTTCCATCAAACACCCCACTACTTCCCTCTGCTTCCAAGATTGTAATATGATATGGTCATAAAATTGACAGCTCATATTTTGGGATTTGTGAGAATACCTTGCCACCTAATTTTGTTGTCAACATTGTCATCAATTTTTTATTTTGCTCTCCTTTTAGTCTCCTTCTAATTTCATTGGGGAATTCAAGGACATTCATACACCATTTTACTGCTGCCACTATGTTTTCAGAATTCCAAAGCAGACTCATTTTGGGGACTGCAAGAAAAGAAGCTTGTTACAATTTTGACATTTCCTTACTTTTCTACAGAGTGGTTTGTTCATTTCTGGACAAGTAATATCGTCCCTTAGAATGTAGCAGATGCTAAGAGGAACTTGACTCAAGTCTGATGAGGCCAGCTATACGTGGGATCAAGGAGACTAGGCATAGACAGAAGTCAGTGGCGTTGAGCAGTTGCCAGAATGAGACAGGAGAGATGCCTACCACCACCACCACCACCAATACCATCCATCAGTAATAATAATTAGCAATTATGTAATTTCAAGTGCCAGGTGCTATTCTAAACACTTCTGTATAATAGCTAATTTAAAATTTATAACCAACCTATTACCTCCACATGACAAATGAAAGCATTAAGATACAGTGAAGTTCAGAAAGCTGCCCAAATAAGGAATTGAAAGTTATGAGTTTGGGAGCTGCCCAACCCTGACATCCTGAGAGGCAGGCAGAATTCATCAGAAAGGGGGCCGGGGAGGAGCAAGGGAGGACTGAGTTCCAGTTGACCAGAAGTAAAAGTAACAATAGGAATTCCAGACAATGGTGAAAGCACATGGAACAAGATGTATGAAAACTGGTGAGGTTCAGATCAAGGACCATGTTCAGAGACTAAAAATAAGGTTTTCTTTCATGTCGCATGCCACACTGCTGGGCTGAGGTTATGTAAATGATTTCTGTCAGTGGCCAGGATGACATTAGGTACAAACAGGATGGGAAACAGAGTATCAGGGAACAGGAGTATCAATACCCATCTTAAAAAAAAAAAAAAAGGAGGAACCTATCTTAGGGATACAGATAATATTTGAAAAGTTTATACCACTAGGCCTGTGATATCCACATTTTTAAAAAATTCCATGCACATGTAGAAGGCAGATTGATTTATATCAGATTGTTTCCAAATTAGTAAGCCCAACACTATGGGGATTTTCTACATTTTTCTTCAAAATATATAAATGGTCACTAGTGCATACTGGCAATCCTTAAAAAGAAAATCTTAATGCAAATTATAAGATATTGGCATGCCAGAAATTTCAAACCATATATCTCATCTTTTAAGATGCAAAGGATAATCATACTTAGGGTAATCTTATATGATTTTTAAAATCAAAACCTTTCTAAGAACATCCTGGGACCTCAATCAAAGAATGTTGTATAAGCAAAGAAGTGAAATTTTTAGAAAGATCCTGATCTTGACACTGGTACCTGATAATACCAATTGCTTGATCATGACATTAAAAAAAATCTAGGCAACCAACCACTGAAGAATTCTAACAGTTAGAAACTCCTTACAGAGTTTGTTCTATGACCGGTATCAGCATAAAGTATAGCACACTCATAATTCTGAAATCTGGAAGATTCTTTGGATTCATTTTTTATGTTAGCAAGCCTTTTTCAAAATGTTTCTATTCACCAGCTTTTGCTCCCTCTGCTGGATCTTAACAACAAGCAACAATGAGAACTCCAATTCTATAAAGAGGCATTTAAGTATATTTTCTTTTTACCAAATTGTGAATAAATCAGAGGGATGTCTGCAAAACCTATATGCTTAATAAATCCAAGCTGATTTTGATTTAAAAATGCCCTGATTAATGACTGTGAAATTTTAAAATTCTGAATATGTGATACCTTATCCCCATTACATCAAAAAAGAACATTAAAAAAAAAAAAAAGAAACAATTGCCCTTACCAGTTTGGCTCAGTGGATAGAGCATCAACCTACAGACTGAAGGGTCTCAGGTTCGATTCAGGTCAAGGGCATGTACCTTGGTTTTGGGCACATCCCCAGTAGAGGGTGTGCAGGAGGCAGCTGATTGATGTTTCTCTCTCATTAATGTTTCTAAGTCCCTAATCCTCTCCCTTCCTCTCTCTATATTAAAAAAAAATCAATAAAATATATACTTTTTAAAACAAATGAAACAATTTTATTTATTTTGGTAAATAGCAAAAACAAACAACACAAATACTGGGAGAATTCAGTGTATGTATAACTTGCATACATAGTTTGTTGCAGTAGTTTTGTGTCAATATATATTTGAGTAATAAAATTAAAATTTGTTCTAGCCTAATTATCAGCAATGTGAATTAAAAGTATTTGGTGGCTCAGTGGTTGGGCATCAACCTATAAAATTATTTCCAGTCAGGGCACATGCCTGGGTTGCAGGCTCCATCCCCAGTGGGGGGATTTGCAAGAGGCAGTTGATCAATGATTCTCTCTCATCATTGATGTTTCTATCTCTCTCTCCCTCTTCCTTCCTCTCCAAAATTACTACAAATATATTAAAAATATTTTTCAGGTAATAAACTCATTTTTTTTCCACAGTTGAGTCAAGCAGCCCAACATTCTTTAAAGTTATCCTCTAATGAAGAATAACATATTTATTCTGTCTGCACATATGCATATTCAGTTACCCTGGCATGAAAATTAGTTAT